ATACTATCACTTTAAAAACCAGATTTTAATGACTATTTGCCAAATTCTACAAATATTATTTCTTTGCTTATGGTTGTTAAGTGAAAGTTTGTAAAATTATAATTGTTGTTAAAAAAACTATACAATATAATTTTTCAAGAGCGGAATATGTGATAATTTTGTTCTCTTAAGAGCGGGCATTTTTACCAAACCAAACCAAATTACCGTTCAATATAAAACTCTATTTTTAGTTATAGTCTAAAAATGTCCGCTCTTGAGAGAACCTGCCATTCAGATGTTCCGCTTTTGAAAGGTAATACTGAATTTTTATTTTTATTTTATATATAAATCAATAATTATTATTTTATTTAATGTGACACACCAAGGTGTGTGAGTTAAATTTTTTGTTATTATTTTTACTTAGAAAAATAGTTCAAGACTAAATTTCAGTTAAAATATCATTTTATTTTAAAATGTTATTTTTTCATGATTGTGTCTACATATTTACAACCTTTCAATGCTTCCATTTAAAACTTCAAAAACCAATTACATTAATAAAACGAAATGATAGTTTGTCCATGTGTTTAAAATGGAATAAACCTTTTTTTATTTCATCACATATAAATAAATTAAATTTATGTGTTAATAAAATTTAATTTGATATTTCAACACCTTAAGAATTACTTTAATGATATTATTTAAATGTTAAAATAATAATTATCAATTGAATAATAATAGTTTATAATATTTTATAACAAAACAGAGAATCGCAAAAGTGGCCGAGTGGTCCAAGGCGCTCTTTTCAGGTACGAGTCTTTTGGAAAACGTGGGTTCAAATATCAATTTTAGCATTTTATATACAGTTGATGCTTAATTTTTAATAAACACGTTTGAAAAGTGACCAAAACACTCGATAGCAAGGCTGTGAATCAGATTCAACTGGTGATCTGACACTGTAAATCTAAAAAAATGTCAAAAATTGTCTTTACAACTTCAACAATTCATTATATAAAATAATATAGTTCATTGATAACCACAAAATCAAATATATATATAAATATATTGTTTATTATCGATCTAAAATGTTTGCATCATTCTATCAAATTGTTAATCGAATATCGTTTTGACAATAAGGGTCACCAATAATAATTGTGTGTAACAATTTAACTAAATATTATTGTAATAACAAACAATGAATTTGTTAAATTATAGTTTAGTTATATTAAATATAATTTTAATATAATTAATCAAAGTAATGTTTTAAGCCAAAATCTGTTGTTATCAATGCAAATTGTTACTGCATTAAAAATTATGATAAAATTAAAAAATTAATATTTACATGCAATATAATGGTTTTGATATAAAACAAATATATTTAGTATATACTTTTTTAAAAACACACATTTGAATATATATTTTGTATTTTTTGATATATCACCAAAATGTTTTCAAACAAAATAATTATAACTGATTATTTTGGGGTATAATAAAAATTGTATTGTTATTTTTTGTCCAAAATCAATTTATACACTCGAAAATAAACCTTGTTTCAAACAACCTATTTTTCAACTCATTGTAATTCGAAAAGAAGTTTAAAACATTTTCTTGGTTTTTAAAAAACCCCTTTTCTTGTTATTGTGTTCAAATATATAACCAAATCAACTGTGTTTATTCACTTTTAGATGTTTTAAAATGATTTATCAAATGGTTATAAAGTTATTTTTGTTATTTGTTTTGTTATTGGTTATATGGTTTTTAATAGTTATATTAATTATAATATTTTTTTTGGTTTTTTTATCCTGTAAGTTGGGAACATTATCAACTAAAAACGTTTTTTAAGAATAAATAACGTTTTTAAAACGATGTTATTGTTTATTTAAAGACCACCAGATATTTGTCGTACACTTGGTTTTTAAACTATTTTTTTATAATATTTTTTGAACCCCGTTTTTTCCTGAATGTTCAAACAAATTATAAGTGTAAAAATTTATTCCTGATTTTTGTTTTATTTAATTATTAATAATTTATTTTGAACTTTTCCTGAAATTGCACAATTTTTTATTTGTTATTAATTTTTCCTATAATTTAATGACAATTTGCAACTGATTCTGAAATTAGTTGATTATTAATTAAATGTTAATTAATATATTTATACGAAATAAACTATCATTGAATCTTAACCCTTCGAGGACTGAAATTTTTTTTTCAGAAAAAAATTTCAAAAAATAATTTCGCTTTTCCAAAAAAAGAAAATAATGGCACTTTTCATAAACAATTTAGAACGATTTTTGACTTATTTGATAAAATAGTTCAACTCAAATTCAAACTTTTGAATTATTTATAAAACATTTCATCATTCATAAACTCAAATTGATTGGTTTTTGTTAAAGATTCCAGGGTCCTCCTTTCTAAATATAAGTGGCATGATTTATTTCTAATTATAAAGAGGTAAAAAAAATAATAAAAAGAGCAATTCAAAATAAAAATATACAAGAAAAAACAAAATATGCTTTTTTTACCAAACACATCTATTTCTCCCAAACACTTCTTAATATGTTATAATATATACAACTATATTATATATACAATTTGATAATGTTTATTTTTTAATTGAAAATATAATTAAAACCTAAATTGTTATTTTGAACTTTTTAATAACAACATGTTTACACCAAAGGTCCCAATTGAGATGAAAAAAAATATATGGGATGAAAGGCTAACTGAAGTACTCGACAAAAACAAAAGAATATTTTGTTGTAAGTTTGTGGGTATTTCCCAACAAATGATGCTTCGAACATACGTGACACACATGATGTCAAATGTGGAGTAGAAATAGTG